AAATGTTGCATAATCAATAATAATAAGATCAACAACAATAATAAGATTGATCAATAATTAATAAGAACTATAATAATGGCAATATTGCATAAATTTTAACGGCCTTGCGGAAGGTCATGGCCAGTCACGAACAGCAAGCTGATTACCTTAGCGACAATGTATACTGCATTTTTTTTTCAGATACAAAATAGATTTATTGAACAAATCCCTAAGGACTTTATAGTTGTTATTTCAGCTATTTAACACATACACATACACCAAAATAAAAAAGAGAGGAAGTACTTCCGTTGAGTATTATGATTTTGGCCCGAATGTCTAACCTGCTATATGTTATTAAAATCTTTATTCATCGAACAAAAATGCTCTGGTTCTATGATTCTGTGTTAACAATTATTATCAAAGATGCATCTTTAAGGGCAACAATGTTTGACCAAAATTTTGTTTATGCATATTATATCGTTCTCTTGATTTTTTTATAATTAAAAACTGGTCCTGAAAGCGCAAATTTAAAAGAATGCATTGCATTACAATTTCCTTTCTTACCAGCGAAAAGCTATTTTGTGTTGCACAAAATAAAAATCGCTGATTCTAATTCAATATAATGGAATCTCCAATGATTAAAAACCGAACCTGAAAAGGATTATTCTAATACCAGCTCGTTGCATAAAACGGATTGTAAAAACAAAGGAAATGATGTTCTAAAAACTGTGTTGCATTCAGAATGGAAAACAACGGATCTAAAAATTAAATTTTATTTTCAGATTAGCATTAAATTCTAAGAGTTAACGACTGAATGTGATAATGGTTTTATAAAAATATCATTTCTTATATATGAAAATTTGATTATTTATTGAAAGGAAATCAAAGCGTCAATTAGAATTCATTAGTATCCGCTAGATCTTTGATCTCATTTGGCAAAGCGGGACCTAAAAAAGTGGCTTCTTGAAAAATTTCAGTCATCTTTCGTTTTAACTTTGTATAAAAAATTCCCGTAATATAAATTATAGGAGTTTGCAGATGAAGACGAAAATCCAGAATTTTATGTAATCCGTAATAGCACGATGTAGTTATATCACCTTTTTATAATTATTTTATAATTATATACATGATGTAACAAATAATATCATGGATTATGAAACTGCAACTGTCTTTGCTCCGAGAAACAATCATAACAATGTAATCTTTAGTGAAAATAGCAGTATAGTTGAGAATGGCTAGAACAGACATTATAAGTCCAGTTCGTATGTTTTGGGGACTGTTAAAATGTTTTAATTTTTTTTAGATTTAACGTCATACTCAATCACGTCAAAATTTCCAACTAAAGGAAAATGCGACGTATGATTCTAAGGGATGTTTCCTAGTAATGATGAACTTTTACAAGGAACCAGCGGTATTTCTCACGTCATTACAAAAATCATTAGAATAAAATGAATCAGATACTATTTAATTTAAAGAGAATGCATTAATTATGCCTAAAACTAATTCATCGTTGCGCAGAAAATCAGGCCATTACAACTGATGTCCACATCGTGCTCTTTGTTGGCTAGAGAACACTAAAACTAAGGAGATATACATCTAATTCCAAAAGTGAAATTAAACAAAGAACGAAAGTTTAGCATCTCATCTGATAAGCCATGGAATATGTGTTTGACAAAGAGAGCATGAAACTATGGATCCATCTAACGAAGTAGTGCTGACGTATGCAGACGGAGAAGTAGTGATATCCGCCAAAACCATCGCGGAAGAAAATTTCATGAAAAACACAGCGCAAGGGAAAAACATCGTCATATAAAACATCACAGGAAAAAGGAAGGCAGAAAGAACACATCGCACTCTAAAACATCATGATATAAGCATCGTCAGAGAAATGAAAGCGATTCAAAAACTTCGCAGTTTTTAATATATCGTCGTACAAAGTATCGTAGATTTTAAATGATAAAACACCTACAAATTATCGCGTGATGATAATATCGCACTCATTTTAAATATATACATATATATCTGAAATAGAAAATCTGACTTTCAAATAATAAATTAATAGCCGTTTAACTCCTGCCTTCATTCTAAAAATACCAGAGCTATAAATTTTCTAACTAAACGAAAAACATCCGTCATTTAATATGTATTGCGCACTTATCGATGAAGTCTAAACCCAACACATGTACATTAAACTGTCATGTGATCTAAAATGGAATTCGTATTTAAAAAATTAAATTACGTCGCAACTCCCTGTTCTTCTCTTCGCTCGTCTTTTCTGTCTTCCCTTCTGCTTCCAGACGTTTGTGTCACCAGAGTTTACTTTCTAATTTTCGTCCTTTAAGAAGATGTAGTCCGTACAAAATTGGGGGGGCGTGCATAGCGTACCCACAGTGATAATGTACATTATCCAGAAATAAAATTATTTTGCGAATTTAAGCCATGACTTCAAATTTTTTTATTTATGCCTCCAACGAGCGCAGCAAATTCTTCAAGTTATGATGCAGTCCTCTCCAACGCCAATCATCAAACCATCTTATCACAATAATGGAGTAGTTTTATTACACACACACATATACGAGAGTTTTTACGATAACCTTCTTTCATTTCATCATTGAATACAATTGCATTTTTTGTTTAAATTTAGCAAGCAGTAAGTTAATTTTAATTTCTTTCCTGGGTTTGATCTTTACAAAAAATGTTTAAATAACTAATTTTAAGATTTTGTCAATTTTGATCTTCTTTTGATTTTGAATTATTTATTTATGTTAAAAAATGTATAACTTTTGTTTTTACCTTGTAATTAAATTTGAAAATGAGAGTATAACTTCTGAAGTAAGCATCTTTTTTAATTGTTTCCAGTTTAGTTTTGTCGTGTTCTTACTGATCAACTTAAAAGATTATTTACTAATTTATTTTGTTTATAAATTCTTCTGGCTTAAATAGACTAATGTCTTTATTTTGATTAACTATTATTCAGGACTTCTAATTTGGTTCTAGCAGAAATATAATTTGATGCTTGCTTGGAAAAAAGATGAAACACTCTCACTTAATTTAGCTGTTGTTAATTGATGGTAGATTGGTTTACTTTCCTTGATCGATTAATTTGCGATCAATGACAATAGCTACTTTTTCAATACTTTAAAATATTTACTTTTGATTTTGGTATTTTTGTGATTAAGGATTTTTCTTTACAGATTTTTATGCTTTTAAAGCAATAGAGATTTTGAAAATACTAATTAAAAATAATAATTAAAATACTGACTAAAAATGTGTTTCATATTCATGGTTTTAATTGAATTTCTCTTCCTTGGAGATATTATATGAAACGTTTTCTCATTATAAATTATTACATTGTTGAATCAACAAATAAATTTTTACTGAAAAAGCAAAAAGAAAACTTAAGTGAAAACCTGAAAATATTTAGAAACTAATGTTTAGTTATTACATTAGTTAACAGTATGTAGCTAACTTAGCGTATGTAGTTAACTATTAAAAGTCATTATTTAGTATATAATTTCATCTGTGAATAGGTATCAGTAGTTTTCACAAAAATATAGTATTAGATTCTAAATATAGTATATAGTAAATATATGTAGTAAAAATATTGGAAAAAAACGAAGATCAGTAACTGGAAGGGTTTACATATATTACAGCAGTTAGTTTAATATTACCTATCAAATTGTAAAATTAGCTGCAATTAATACAATACATTACATTAATTTCAGATTTTGATTGCTTAAATTTCCTTAATTTATTAGTTAATTCAAAAATATAGAACACAGAAATAAAGCAGTATTACTCATTTCTTCTTGCACTTATAAATAATTACGCAAACATGCATCTAGAACTGTAAGTCTGAAAACACATATTTGCGAAGTTTTCACTGTGCGATGATTTATAGGTACTTTATATTTTACTATATTTTTATACGACGATACTTTAGAACTGCAAAGTTTTTAAGATACTTAGTTTTCTACGACGATGTTTTATATTATCACATTTTAAAACTGCGATGTTTTCTTCTTGCTTTCTTTTCTCCCACAATGTGTTAAAGGGGGGCGTGTTTCCCACTTAAGTTGTTTTCTCCGCAACGTTTTCTTCAGAGATGTTTTTGATACGATATGCCATGGCCTGCAATCAAAACATTTGAAGAAGCTGCTTCGTTGAGATTACTTAAGATTCTTAGTATATTATCGATGAAGACGTCTTTCGTTGGCTTTGTAAAAGTAATCTTTACTCCTCCGTAAACATCAACACCGTTCTTCATAAACGTTTTCTTTTGCAATCTTTCTGTAAGGAAACAGCACATTGCATGGTTCCCAAGCAGCAATTATATGGAGCAAAAATACCATTCAGGTGAGTTTACTCAACGTTCGAATATTTCTGTCTGCTTCTTTCTTCAAATCAAACAGAAAGAATAGCTTAAATTTAAAAGATCATTTCAACCCGAAGACCCTCTACCAACGATTCTGGTCAAGCATCTTACAATGACATTTTTTAGAACTCTTCTCCAACACTTCTGGGCACATCTTAGGATGTATGTTTTGCGCGCTGCATCTTAATTCTAAGCACCGAGTAAGCCTTTTTGTTTCATTATTAGAACGGTCTATAAGTCAATTATACTTATGTTAAAGTTTCCTTTTGGTTAGATGTTTATCTCATTTCTTCTAGTGACAAACTTTTTCTTCCCCATTTTAATGTCTCGACCTAGAATCTCGCAGACTTTCGACATAATATGGAAAACGACTTGCCAGTAAATGCTTTGTCCACATGCTTGGAAGTTTTCGAAAATTATTTCTGTATAGTTTAGCTTTGTTTATATGTATATATTCATAATAAATTATTTTATTTTAAGCCGCTGTCTATCAATCACTATACTAATATCAGATAATAATTACTTTCATGAAACTTAGTTATTTGTAAATATTATATATAATTGTTTTCTTTCAAATGTAGTTTTGTAAATACCATTCATTATCACTTCATTATCGTATAAAACTTATGAGTTAATTTTCTTATAGATACACGTCGAGATTATTGCTTTTCAAACTACAAGAATGGGGAATGCAGCAATCCTTCTTCCATGATTGTTACAAAATCCGCTTGTTGTTGTGCTAACCGGGGAACAATGACACCAGCATGGGGCACTCCTTGTATACAATGTCCCCCTCTAGGATCTCAGGAATTCCATCGGCTGTGCCCAAAGGGCCCAGGCAGTGGACAGGATGATGGTGAGTTGCAAATAATCCAAGGTCTTTCTTTGACCTTGGATTTGACCTAATTGAGATTTAGGTCGAAGAAAAAAATATTTTTCCTAATCCTTAATGAAAGTTTAGTGACATTAATTTCTAATTATTGCACAGTGAGAATGCAGTTATTCATTCCGTACACTACTGTTTAAAGTTAACATTCAGTTAGATACAATTCGTTTCTTGCTTGTGAAATAAATCTCTTTCCAGTAAATAGCCAGTAATGGTTTAAAAACAGGAAATATCAGTTAGAGTTGAATAAAACTACGAGGGTAAAACTTCTAAATACACCAAATATTTGCAATAGGAATTGTACATGCTGTGATCAGTATTATAATTTCAAAGGTCAAATAGCACCTACTTCTTCAGCTGTAAATGTGAATGCTCGCATTCGCAGCTCAAACCGTTATGCCTGTATTTTGCTGTTAATTTTTGGTTTCATTAGATTGAACGGATTCTTTAGCAGAAAAATAAAATTAATTAAATAATAATGATGAAATGTAGAGAAATGAAGTGCAGCACAACTAAGCACAGTTTTCATTTTATTGCTAATTCATCTCAATCATTTCTCAACTCATAAATTTTTATAATAATTATCTTATTTCATTTCAAACCTTATTCAAAATACAATTTAATCTTAATTCGAATACAGATGGTAGTATCTATCGTCATTTAATATAACAGTCTCAATTAGATTTTATTACTATGTATGTCATTTAGGATAGATAAAATTCTGTACGACGCTAGGTAGACAACTACCCAATTCATTTCTTTGCTTCTTTATTAGATGTTGATGGAGTCCATAATCATTAGCCGCTAAGGCATCCGTATAACAAAAAGAACCGTGTTCCACATTCTGCACCACATCCTTGTGTACAGAAAAATTTCAGTGCATTGGATATCTCGTATGTCATTTGATGTGTAACACAGGCACCATTTTATGCACTTGCTCAAAGCATTTTCAACATGATTCCAAAGAAACGATGATGATTTACTTGGAAAAAACTTGAATTCGCTTGTACGAATAAAGCAAGTACAACATCCTATAAATGGAAGCATCGTAATTCGTCTCGTCAACAGAAGGTGCATGCTGCGTTGCGTGACAGGAAGGTGATGTTCATTGTGACGTTGGACGTTCATAGAATGATACTACATCACGTTATACCTTGAGAACAGACTGTTGGACCTGTGTACTACTGCGATTTCCTGCTATGTCATCTACGTCGAGTACTCAGAAGAAAGTGACGAATCCTATTATCCTCCATAATAATGTCAGATGTCATAATGAGAAGAAGGTCCGTTATCACGGACCTTCTGTAAGGATCACGATAGGAAGTATTGGAATATCCCCCCTACTTACCTGATATCAATGCATGTGGCTATGATCATTTCGAGAAAATGAGAGAACCACTGTTCTGTTGCAGTAGTAAAATGGTTACCCTTGCTACCCGGTCACTGCGGTACATCAACTAAAGTGCACATGATAAGGTATACAGTGCCTTCCCATAATCTGGCAGATGGTGATAGACATGGCAGACGATTACACTGAGGAATTCATTGTAAATATTTTTTTATCTATGCCAATGAATTCTTTTCATAATGTATCGCCACTGTGTTTTATACAACCCTTGTACTTCCTTTTAAAGACGGATAGATACCAGGTACTAAAAAAAGAAGTATCCGTTTCCAGTTTACTTCCCTCAAATTCTTTGAATTGTATATTTAAAGAGTTTTCTTAAATATTTGAATAATTTATATTTTCTGGATAGAATGGAGTTAACGGTCAAAGGAAATAAAAAATCAAGCATGACAATTCAGTTGAATAAAAACCTTACAAATTTATAATAAATATTTATTTTGATAGACTAGGTTTCAAATCAAAAATCTCGCTTCGTCGTTTATCTTTCTTGTTATCGCTAGACTGAAGCAAAGGAAAAGAAATGCAGTATTCTCAGGCGATCAAAATTACATCACCTGAAAACTTTTTTGCCTCCGAAACTTTTAACGAATGCATTAGTTTACATTTAAAGTTAGCTTTGTTTTCTTTTCTTTTCAGATATTAATGAATGCATTGTGTTTCCAAACATCTGTCCGAATGGAGCCTGCGAAAATCTAAAAGGCAGTTACAGATGTGTATGCAATGATGGATACCAAATTGATGGAACAGGAAAAATTTGTTCTGGTAATGGAAAGTTTTAAGCACCATCATGCATACTTGTCATTTTTCATTTTTTTCTCTTTATTTATTGAAGAAAATTGTATTTTAATCCGTAAGTTTATGTAGTTCTTGTTGTTATCTGCAACAAATGAACTGCGCTGAGCGTTTTCTAGTGTAGTTTTCTTTAAAAGATAACTGTTAATTAAATCATCTTTTAAAAGTATTTGAGGTAAAGTGTGATGCCAAAAGCAATTGTTATGAAATTTGAAATATATTCTATTATTCTTTTGGTATATTAATAAATCTTATTTCCAAGGAAAAGTATTATATAATATTATTAAGAAATATATATTTTTAATTCATTTCTTTTCTTACGTTGTTATTGTTTATTATGTTATTTCGCGTACTATTAATTTTCTTAATTTTATATTGTAACAAGTATCTATCCAAATTCTATAACAATATAAACTATTTATATGATTTCTTATACTATGTATTTCTTTGATGTATGAAAACGATAAATGAAGCAACTTAAAAAATTGGCAATATGCATACATTTCTGAATACTGACGTGGCAACGCTGGAAAGGGTAGATAATGCTGTAACAGTGTAACGTATTTAAGAAAATTGGATAAATTTAGTAAATAATTTAGTAATTTCAGGAGTCTTGATGTGAAAATATAAAATAATACGCTACAGAAACCTCTTCTTACATGAAAAATTATATTTAAAGCACTCAGCATTTGGCTGTTGGTGAAATCTCTTATTTTTCACATTAAACTGTATTTAATTTTTTGTGCAATATTTACATTTTTTATGTAAAATATATATGTAGGAATTGACAAAAGGCTTAGTAATAAATCAGCTTAGAGTTTGAACATATTTAGAGTTATTAGGAGTACCTTTCAGAGTTGGCAACAAGAATTAAATTTGAAAGCTAGTTGTAAACATCAACAATTTTCTATACGTATCTTGTAATTTTTGTGCTTTGTGTGTCTTAAGTGCATTTGGTGTGCGTTTTGGTATATTAAAATGTCTTTCTAAATCAAGAAGCATCCTAGATTTAACTTCTACCGCCCACATGAAGTCTACATATCTGTTTAATATGAAACTGAAACGTAGCGAAAATTTCTGAGCAGTATTTTGAATCAATATTATGTTGCCCATAACAATCAAGAAAACCTCCAAGTATAAAAAATTCCAAAAGAAATTCTGTTAAACTCTAAAATCCTGAAAATCCTGAAAACTGAGTATATTGAATAATAATAATAATGATAATAAAATCGATAGTGCTTGCACGGGATTATTTATTCAGAACCGAACCCAAGTTTAATTTAATTTCACGTCGAACATCATATATATATTTATATATCAAGGGCTTAATTTCTAAAATTAAAAGTGCCAGAGCCCTATGGTAGATCGTCAGGAAAGAGGAACAAGAATAAATAAATAAATAAAATGACCAATAAACTCATTAATAATTAAAAAATAAGTAAGTAATTATTAAAATAATTAAATAATTAACGGTTAAAGTAATCAAATAATTAAAATTAAAACTTAATAAAATGTAAAGTTTAATAAGCGATTTTTAATATAATTATCCCAGTTGGGCTTTAGCTCAGAAAGGCTATTAATCTCAAAACGACATTTGCGTGGAATTACTTTGTACACGCCGTCCCACTGTTCTAATGACCTCATTGGATTGGTAACAGAGACGACGTTGGTAATAATGTGGCTTCGCAAATATTTCATTAGTTCCTTGCCACATCTCGAATATAGAAATTCTGTAGAATATTTATCCATTCATATCAAATCTATAACAAAACTTATGAATTTATTCTCTAAAATACTTTTTATAAAGGAAATTTTCGAAGCATATTTATTGAGTATTTTCATAAGTTTTCCTATTTTTAATGACGTTTCTTTGTGTTAATACCTACTTGAAATTCTTAAGTTTATATTAATAATTAATAATTTTTATTTTGTAATTTGAATAACTGTAAGCTTTTCCCACTGTTTTTCATAATATTTCTTTATTTTCATTTTCAAGACATCAATGAATGTGCAGTCAATCTGTTGTATTGCGAAAATGGCCAGTGCCGGAACACTCCAGGTAGTTTTCAATGTACCTGTCCAACAGGCACAAGACATAATGTACTTACCAATATTTGTGAAGGTATATGTTTCACCTTTTTATTTTAATTTTAAATTTGTTTTCTTTAGTTTAAAATATGTTTATTTAAAATATCTGTAAGTTACGCAAACATTTACAGTTGATTAAATGGGTAATAAATGTGGTTCTTCGGTCAAGGTAAAATTCTATGCTTCTTCCTTAGGGTAGAAAGGTTATAGAGCAAGAAATGAGCCCGCATTTATAAGGTACCAGCATTGAATTAAAATTGAAGGCTTAACTGGTGAAAATCTCTTATGCAGACATGTACGTTCAAATTAATAAATTTGAAAAACCGTTTTTTGCTTTTCATAAAGAATCGTGGAAGGTAAAATTAAGAAATAAAAAATAAAACAGAACGTGCAAAATGTTCATAAAGTAACAAAGCAGAGTTGAATATACATACATATATGCGCTTGTGTGATCAGTTGTTGACTTATTTGCGGAGTGACGAAGCTTGGCGCATTACAAATGTTAGCTAGACATGCCGATTTAAAACTTTATTTTAAAAATATAAGCACATTCTTATCTTAAATAGATCGTAATATTCTTATCTTGAATAAGAATGTGTAATGCGCACGATTTGCTCCCGGAGTTTTATTATATTTGAGCCTTTTTTACTATATCTTTATTACAATTAATTTCGAGGGAGTAAAGGCACTACAGCAGCGGAGAGCAAGCAGATTAGCAGGCGAGAAGCAAGAGGGAGAATGCTACATATTCAAGACAAGAAATATAGTTAAGAGTGGTTTAGTTTCATTTAAGCTTTATCCGTAATGCTTAATTTTACGTTTATTTACCAAATTTGAAATTACTATTGGCTGAAGCGTTATATTGTATCGGCGTCATTACGGTTATGGGAAAATATTAATTTTGAAATGACTTAGTTTAGAAGAGTTACTGTTTTAGGACTGAATGGGATAATAACTACATTAAAATGGAGAGTCTAGGAAATAATTTAGTTTTACTGCATTAGTGTGCAAACTCTGATCAATTTGCTCAGAGCATATTAATTTATTTACTTACGTTTTGTGTAGCGTGAGTTTCATAAAATTACTTTTTTAATAATATTTCCGAAAGTTTCAAACATTATTTCGCATGCATAATTTTTTTATGTAATTTTTATGTAAATGTAAGTTTTTAATGGGAAATAATCACAGGTTTTTACAATCACAGGGAATTTTTAAGCGACTCCAAGCACGTTTTTTTTAATTACTTTGATCAGCGAAAGAAGTTTTGATGCTTTAAGAATAACTGTTTTATAGTTATAGCAATTTTGCGGTTTTGTAAATAAACGATACTGTTAAAGCGTTGCATCAAAACCACATTATTTACATGAGGTTTCAAGCAGCCTTTGCGTAATATATAAAACCGAAGTATATCGAATAGCATCATAACCGTAAGTACTGAATAACTTGTCAGTTTTAGATTTCCTTTCCGTAAGTATAATTTTGACATTTCAGTATTCCAGAAACATTCCCACGGAAGGAATCTGGCTTTTTCTTGCAAGCAGAATAATAACGTTCAAAATATTCTTACCGCATAAACACTTTAGTGAAATGCATTATTTCTGGAAAAGCAAATATGAGCATTCCATTCAAGATGAAGTTTCGATCTCGTTAAGTACTAGGAATTTACACATTCTGCATTCGCATTGCATAATTTAGAACTAAACATCTGAATCGCAATTGAGAAAGAGGTTTTAGATCTGGCAAGAGATTTCAATACAAGTTCCTACTGTATCGTATCTTCTGCCGTTATGCAAATTCCTTCTTTTCCATGCAATAAGCATAATTTGAACTTTGTTGGAGGAATATGTAATACAATTGTTAGACGTGCTTTGTGTTGATGTTGATTTGTTGATTGGTGATACACTGCTGATCTACACATTAATAATAATATTTAGAACTTGACAATAATATTTTTCAATTGCTAATTTTGCTTAATTGGTAAGCAACACGTTGCTTTAATTCAAAAAATAATCAAAGATGTTGTCTCGCACTAATAAACGAGTAGATCAGATCTCTGAGCATCGATAGTTGATCCTCGGTTTATTTCCATCTGAATGCATGACAGCTCATGAAACTTTCGTGTTTTTCAGCCGCGTTTAACGTGATAAAACATCAGTTTCTCCTATAATGTCCTTCAAGAAGCTTCCTTTGAAAGTACATAGTATTTATGTACTTTTCCATGTTCACTAATCAACCGAAGTCATTATAATTAGAGTGATTGACAACAACCCTGAGATGTGCAAGGTTTTTAGTTTACATGAAAACTCTATGTAGTAAGGAGACGATTTAGTTGAATACTCTAGCTCAAAAAATGAAATAATTGGGCTATAGATATCTATAAGGTTGTAGACACATTAGGTATTTTTGGAAGCAGGCAAGATGAAAAATGAGCATACGCCTTCACCGAGAATAGAACCACGGACCTCTAGACACCGGCCCAGCGTGCAGAACCACTACACCACGAAGGCACGCTAAGAAGGCGGGAGAAATACCTTATAGGGTGATAAAAGGCTATCGCAGGGATTTTTCAAAAATTAGTTAATCAATAGATATCATTACAAGGCAAAGCTACTGAGGTATGATTTAATTTAAGTAAAAAGTACTAAATTTAAGTTATTCCGGAAAAATCCCCCTATGTTTGAAAAGAGTTACATTATGTTAAAATTATGATTAATCTCTCTTTCTTCACACAAATATTTGAAGAATAGCCCACTGACCTCAAAATGAGCAGATTTGAAGATTTTTGATACATTAAAATCCATTATCTTACTTTGCTTGCATTTACTGAAATGTATATGTACTTGAAATCACACACGACATTTTCACTGTGATGTGATGTGATAACTGCTGAGCTGCATATAGTTTGTAGGCTATTTTTTAAAACTGAAAGCCATTTTAATTCTATTTTTAATTTTCCTTTAAAAGCCTCAGCTGTGCTGAAGTACCTTATTTTGCCTAAATAATCTCTTGTTTCCAATGCAATTTTTCAGTTGTTTGACAATGTTTTTCCATCTACATAAAATTAATTAATGCAGAACTAAATACTTTTTTTAAGTTCAGAGATATCAACAAGAATATAAAATTTTGTAAATTCAGACATATAAATTAAATAGGAAAAAATTTCTCAGTAGTGAGTATGATACCCGGAACAGTAACTAAGGCCTGGCAGCGGTGTCTCGTGCTATTTAGGATGTTGTCAATAAGCTGCATAGGTAGTAATGCCGATTGATAGAGTAAACCGTGCTAATCACATATAGGGTTTTTGGAGGGAGCTGGAAATCATCAGTACACCTTTCCGAAAGCGTCCCGTCATGCACGAGGCGAGCAATGTGAAGGCTGGCATTACCTGCTTGTTGTACCTCTGTACATTAAGATTTCCCTGTGATAGCGTTTAGAAGTCTGTGTGCCCACCTGAAGTTACTCCTAACCGTTACATGAACATTACCTCCTACAAAGGTAATCGTTCTCGTATGTTAGACGGAAGATACCGAGTGTTTGCTTCTCTCCATATAGAAACACGTTGAGAATCACGTGGACTCATCAATGAACAAAACAGATATTCACTGATTTTCCAATTTACATGACTACCTGACCGATTCAAAGTCTCGCTTCAGTGGCGCGAGGTAAGAGTATCGCCTCTCGAGAGAACTCTTTTATGCAGTCATCTGCTTACGTCGTTACGTTACGGATTACTGATGTTATCCTTCCTCTAGCAAAAATTAACGTGGATCTAATCTGAAATGGAGGTGCACCTATTGAGACGTGCTATAAGTCGCAAATACCAATCATCTGCAGAAATGGTAACTCTTGGCTTACCTTCGGTAAGTCCTCGAGTGGCTGAACCAATAGTTAGAAAGTGGTTTTACAACCGACTACCACGGGACAGTCCTTCTTGCACCGTCAGACTGTTGCTGACCTGCTGCTAATTAGCCTATGAATCTATAACGCAGTTCTTCTGGCAAATATTGTCTCGAACTAATTTTTCCAGTTCGGCTATCTCAGAACTGTTTAATGTACTATAGTTCATCGAATAGTGAGTCCTTCCTAAGCAGCTGATTTTAAGCTTTTCATATTTACGTAAAGTAAGGACAGTACCACTTTTCCTCATAAAGCTACACGATGCAGCTTGCTTTCTTTGTAACATATCCAAATTTCAAGAATTTCGAACTACTTTTATAGCCCATTTATAGCGATTTTTCAATTTGTTGCTTAACGTTGGGAAACCAGTGTGTGTGTCACATTGATGTCACAGTGATTTCGCATTTACCAGCTTGTTTAAAATTCATGATTATCTAATGTAGTTCTGTCAAGACCAGTGTTTTACACTCTCTTCGATAACAGGATTGAAATTCCGGTTGCTAATGGTATGCATTGTGAATTCAACACATTATTTACCTATATACAAAATGACAACTATTTCATCAAATAATCTTTGAGTAATCATAAACACTACTCATTTAAGTATTTGTGCTCAGTGTTAACAAGCATACATAGAAGGTGTTTCTTATATTTTATTAAAGATTATTATCTTTGCAATATTTTGTTTTTTTAATTTACGAGAAAAATTAAAATTAGAAAAGAAATCATTAAAATTTCTAGATTTAATGAGAGTTCAGAGAATAATTTTAATTAATGAGAATCCGAAGACTAATTTATGGTAAATTACTTCTTTCCAAAACTTGATATTCATAGGAAATGATATTTTTTCCTTTGGTCGTTTCTTACTTAAATGATCATCAAATGGTTGGTTATGGTAATTAATTTGGCCTGAGAAAGACAAGCGTTAATATAAGTTAACTAATGAGTTTTTTTCATTATTGCAGATATTGATGAATGCAAAGAACGAGGATCAGAAATATGTATCGGCGGTACATGTTTTAACACTCAAGGAAGCTATCAGTGTGAATGTGAACCAGGTTCTGCTTTGGATGCTTCAAGAAATATCTGCATTGGTATTGATTTCCTGCATTGTTATTTTATACATTAATGTAAATTTAGCTTATATTTTCAATAATTTGAATAATTCTCTTCAATTTGCGATAGAAAGGGTAAACATTTTAGAACGATTTCGATAAAGAATTCTAAAAATGTAAATGTTTTAGAATAAAAATTTCTGGTAACAGCTTATTATTTGGAAAGAGAAACATCATATGCAGCTTTTAAATTTATTCTTCTTTCAAAATTTCGCTAGCAAAGCGAAACGTAAAGAAGCTGTTTTTGCGCTTTACGAAGAGAAGTATTCTAATTCCATAATTCAAAAATGTTGTGAAATATATGAAATAGTAAAATTTCGAAGTGCGAAACAAGCAACATTCTTGTTCGGAAAGAGACAAATCGTTAATCATTATTTCCATGCGGAAAGCAGACTCCAAATGAATACGCGAAAAAGGTACTATACTGTTTCTAATATTTATAAAGCTAAATTACTGGTAATAAAATCCTCCGATGCAGAAGTAAACTTCAAAGTCTTTAAATGCATCTGTAGCAAAAATGCAACATAAATAAAATAATAAAGCAAGGTTTATAACTTTAAGAGATAAAAACGTAGCAGTGTTTAGCAGTTTTTGCCGAGGCATCTGGCTCAACGCAGAACAATTTGTAAAACGTTATATGAAAATTATTTAGCAAGAGATAAATAGAAATGAATTGTGACCTATTATTAAGGATGCTTTTGTCTTAATGACTGCAATAACAAAAGTCCTATGTATTATCGAAAACGAAGAGGAAAAATACACAAACCTAGTTCAATCAATGCAAAAGTGTTAAAATCAACTTGCCGTACTGTCAAGAGAATGTTTTACGTCCTATATTTACAGAAGAAATTCCATTTCTTTCCTGCTGCATGTCTTGAAACAGTGAAGACTGGTGCATGTATTGCATATATACTTTTATAACATATTCCTGCGAAGTCCGCTGACGTTTCATCTATGGGTATTGTGCCTTTGGTCTCTTGAAAAGAGCTCTTCCTAAGCGATTGATGGACTGTGGAAAGTAATAGAAGAGGAATAGAAATCAAAATCCCTGGAAATTTTATGAAATTCTCTTCTGTCATGGAAACCACGATGCAGTCTTATGGTCCAGAAAACAGACTACAAAAACAAATATTCAGAAAAATATTCTTTACCTTTTAGACATTAATTAACGGGCCCGAAATCGTTTTGAAAATGTGTAAACATCCACTGTATTTCGTCATCGAAATCCTAAATTCATTATATTTGTTGTTTGATTTTTGACGATGTTGATAGTTTTTGCGTAACGTGAAACGGTGTTGTCTACCAAAGGAGCATATTTTCTATAAGTGAAACATAAGATGTAATGGGTGTTTTCCTTGTGCTTCACAAAACAGATGAACAAGATATCTCGACATGTGACATCTGAAAATAAAAAAATAAAAAAAAAAAAAAAAAAAAAAAAAAAAAACGCAACATGAATAAGAGACTGGTATAAACTGTTGTGTTATGTCAGTAGAATCTACTTTGCCACATATTTTAGGTCGGCAAATAATTGGCTGCAACAATTCCATGCGATACTTCATATAAATGTTGTCCTGAACAATCTGCTAGATTCTTATTCTTTGTCAGGATTACGCGCATCACATTACTGCTCTGCTAGAGAGAATCATAGTTACATAAGAAAAAAGGTAGAAGAAAAGAAATATATAACTAATTTAATTAAATAATTTAAAGTATGAAAATAAATATATTAGTAAATATAACACACACACACACACACTATATTATAATTCTGATTCATACAATTTAACTTAATATCCCCCTTCAAAAAGAAAGAGGCGTAGTGACAGAGAAGCCTTTTTAAAAAGAAAGAGTTAAAGCACTAGCAAATGAAAATGGAAGGGAAAAAAAAAAAAAAAAACCTAAATCATAAAATTTTTTCCCTATAAACTATAATTTATAAATATCAATTTTTTTAAATAAATTTTTTAATTTTTAGAGTCCTATTGACTTTTTCAGCATTTCAGTCCAAAAGTCTTTTTGTTTGAGAGTTCACATAATCATAATTCTTCAGGGAAAGTTCTTGTTAACACAGAATATCACAAAATATACTTTTACATAACCATTACTTATAATTAAATGTAATGCACATAAATATTTATGATACTTATTCTATACTGATAAATTATAATTTAACATCATAAATAATGGGATTAAGATTTTCAGAATTTATGGTTTCACCGTTATCATCTTTCATTTACAATTCCTGTATTTTACCAACTGGGATTAAGATTTTCAGAATTTATGGTTTCACCGTTATCATTTTTCATTTACAATTCCTGTATTTTACCAACTGGGAGGCCTCGCAATACTTCTAAACAAACCATATCCATCAGTAGGGCTGTCCTCTTGAGCTAACCAGTGCGTTCTATGTACTGGTGGCCCAGGGTGCCTAGGCAGTTACTTGAAAAGGCCTCCGTTCCTTGCATTCAGGTAACTGGCCTTTCAGAACTGCACTAATACATTCCATAATAAAAAAATATTATAATAATAATAATAATATACAAAATTTACATGCATTCATAAAATGAGAACCTCCACATTATTGCATGAAGAGGGTAAAAGGAACAACTGTTAAGAGGTAATTAATTACAGGCCTCTGTTGAAGGAACCAGTACACCCTCATCATACTATACTTAACACAAAATAAGCCATAAATTTTAACATGCATTTACCATAATTTCATATTAACTTATCGTAATAATTTCATTATTTTTTACACCTACTTAATTTTTAGAATAATTATAAAATTAGTATTCAAAATTCTCAACAAATTTCAAAAACATAAAACTTATCTTAATATCCTTCCCTATGAATAATTTAAATAGCTTAAAAAGCGTTACTTAATTTTCTCACACATAATTATGAAAAATTAGAAAAAATGAACAAGAATTTCAGATTTTCTCAAAACAAACTGCAGAAATTTTAACCCAGAAATTAACCAAAGTTGAAATGAAAACTATAGAATTCGCAGCATATTAAATGATTTAGTTTCTGAGTTAGATTCACACGAATGTAAAAATTTTTGAGCTGTTGAAAAAGTGGAAATGCAAATAATTTTCTGTCGCACATATGCAAACTAACTCAGATCGACCTTGAACCCACTGTAATGCTGAATTCCTAAACGGTAATCACTGATGATTTACCTTTTTTTTTGAACCCGCTGTAATGCTTAATTAAATATTGTAAACGGCGAATGCACTGATGATATTCCTTTTCACTAGGCGTTCCGAACTTCTCAATTTATCGAGAGATTACTTTCAATCTGTAAACACTACGCGTGATTATTTTTTGAATCACTTGCAAAACACCACAGCAGAAGAATGATCTGTTATTTTTTAAACACTGAAAAAACAAATTTGATGATTCACTTTTTTCACATTATCTTGGATTTACACAAAACGATGATTTGAAGAGCTGAACTAAATTTTCCATTGAGGTTTCAGGCTGCAGGAAACAATCCTGCCGGCTAATTGTTAACTGTAATGTTTTCAGTTATTCCAACACATCGTGGGCGAACGGTGAGGCTATTCCATTACACGTTCTAGCAGATGATTGAAGCTGGGAGAGAAATGACGACTCAGGATTTTTCACTTTTAACAGCAAGCATATCTTTTAATTTATAGCAGATGACTTTTTCCAGATGAAGTTAATCAAATAACTCGACTGACTTTAAACTTTAATACGTCATAACGTTCTAACAAAGAATGAGGAGCATAGCGGAAACGTTAGCAGGACGAAGGCGAGAAGGCATCTGTGTAGGAGAACTTATGACGCAGCATTTATATGAAAGGTTATGTAACAGAGTAGCTTCTAGAAAAATGTAGAAAAACTTATGACGCAGCATTTATATGAGGAGGTTATGTAATAGGTGCGAATGTTCTAGAAGGTAAATGGTATAAGGGGAGATGCTGAATTGCAGAAAATTAAAGGTTGCTGGTTCGCAAAGAGCAAAGCCATCGTATTTTTTTTTTTTATATTTTACATACATATATATATATATGGTGCGTTTTAGAGTGATTAGCGTTATAAAATATTAGTTTTCTTGGAATTTCTCGCGATTTATATGTAAACCGATTGAAATGTTTAACGATTGTTCTTCATCAATATTAGAATGACTTCTATATTGACACAAAATGATCTGTGTATTTTTTCTTTTTGAAAGCAAAGTCTTTCGAGCTGAATTATACTTTTCACAGCGATTTTAAACAAATTAAAAACATGGAATAGAAATTTTCATGATAATCTTCTTCAGTATTGTATCCATGGTCTTTTATATTTCATTATATGAAATAAAACCTGTTTCCTCGAAGTTGCCATTTTTCAGAAATCATCTGATGTCTTCAGAAATCATCTCAGTCTCAGAGATGTTAATTCTGTTCTATACGGAGGGTTATTCTAGAGCTATTCCATCCAGTTGCTATAAAATGCTTCACAAATTACTTCTGTACCTCTGAAATATTGAAACATTGCTTAACCACCGTATGCATGCTTGAATATTTCAAGTGTTTTATTACCTCTTTTTAGAAGTTTAATACATACTTCAATCACATCTCTACCGTATTTTCACAGCATTGATGTCTTCTTCTTCTACCGCGATAAAAACGTATTTGGTGCTTCCAATAGCTATGCCAAATTACTGAAGGGCATGGCTATCCAGCGTCTTGTTTTGAATCTACATGTAACCTTCACGAAATCCAGATCAGAATTGCCACGTCTGATATCGGGATAAAGAAATAAAAGTAGCCTTAGAATTTTCCATCCAGCCGTTGTCCATATGACACTTAATGATTAAAAACGTTGACCTGCCAAGATTCTCGACTGCTTGTGGCATAATAAAAATTGCTTATGATTAGATTCTAATACTAATTAAGACGCAAATAACTGAACGCGCTGAAAGATTTGATTCTGGCATTATCGCAGAAGGAAAAGATGATTAATTTAGGAAAAGATGATTAATTTATCTGTCGATAAAGAGGTGCTAATCTTAGAATACAGACTATTTCATGTTATAAAAGCGTTAATTTGATATATTTTAGAGTTTCATTTTAATGATTGGACTTCTTAAATCCCCCAGTTTTATGTGATAATAATGATCCCAGAAGCTTCTTACAATCGAAATACGCAATACATATTTTTGAAGTAACATATAGTGCTGAATAACGTTTGTCCCGGTAATGTTCAATAATTCCCTAAGCCTTATTATCGCCTAAGCTCTAGATTTTTAATTTAAATATTAAAGCGTTTAAAGGGCGATTAAATCGTCCTCTAAATCCTTAAATCTTGCTCTTTCTTTATAAAACAAAGAAAATAGGTTGTTGGTGCCATGTAAAAGAGCACTCTGTCCAGAGCCCCAAATAATTTTAATACAGCCCTGATAATTTTCCATAACGAGTGAAATAGTATATAAAATGCATAAAATTGTTTTATATTTTTATCAACCTTTCGTAATTGTTTTATAGATTATATAGAATTTGTAAATGCTCTCAGATCTATAAAATTTTCTATGCTGTTTCAATTACGAAGACTGAAATATGAAGTATGAAATAGACTGAAATACATGTAAAATTAAGTCTGCGTTAATAATTACGCATATTCTCTACATTTTTTCATATCGTTAATCAGCGTAAAGAACATTTTTTTCAGAAAATGAGTCGTAGATTTGATACTTGGGTGAACTAACTCATCAGTTAATAAAGAAGAGTTTTTCTTTTTTTAGATAACAGAAGAGGTTCATGCTGGATGACAGTCAGAGAAGGGCGTTGTGAAAATAACATAAAATTCCCAATGCTGAAGTCTGAATGTTGCGGATCAGTTGGAAAAGCATGGGGTAGTCCCTGTCAACTCTGTTCGGAAATAGGTAAACGTATTTTTCTTATTTCAAATTTTTATAAATGTTAATCTAGTCGTTAGAAAAATATTTTATTCTGAGAAAATAGTATGAATCATTTAAAAAGAATTTCAAACAAATTTAAAATCTTTACAAATAAAGAATGTTATCAGCTAAAAAAATTTTTATTATCAAGCGGAAAACCGTTCCAGTACGAAAACGAAATAAAAAAGACAGTAGATATAGAACATGATCTTTTATTACTGAAATGGAGCAACCATGATTTGCCGTGCATTTTTTTTTTTTTTCGAGGGGGGTGCTGTTCTAATCGTATCGTTCTATTACAAAAAGTTATCCAGTAATATAGGGTGCGGCAGCGTTCATAGTAGGATATTAAAAGCACACCATAAGGAAGCAACTGTAATTTATTTATTACCCCTTATGTCAATTAATAGTGAAAGGTATGCTATTTACTAATGTGTAAGTCATTGTCCATTGCGTGGATTACTTTTTGAATATGATGCCCCCTCTGCACAACACATTCATCTAGGCGGCGTTGGAAGCTTGCCATAACTCGGCGTAACGTATTCCCTGGGACATTGCCGACGGCATTTCGTATCCGATCCTTCAACTCAAGAATGGTGGCACAGCATGTTCGGGAAACTTCTTGCTTCAGGTGCCCCGAAAGTCGGCGCATGAAAGATCAGGTGAGCGAGGCGACCAGGAAATGTCACCAAAATTGGAAATTACTCTACCTGGAAATGTCTGTCGCAATGGTCCGTCCATCTGGAACTTTCCCATAACGTCCCAAGTTGAAATGTTGCCGAAATAGACGCTGGGTAGCAAAAACAGAGTAATTATTCTTGAAATAAATTTCAGCAGGAAAGGCACGATGCTGTGCACTCCAACGATCCATATCACTGTCACACTCGAAATGGTACACAAATTAGTACACGAATGCGGCACGATTGGATTGGATTGGATTATTTAATTATGGCAAAGCACACGAGGGCTACCTGCCTAGGGAAACTGGCTCGCATACACGTTACACATGGGAAAAACCACGAAAACGCCCATGCAGCCAGCCCGTTCGCGGGATTCGAACCTCAGACCGAACTACCAATGTTCAGCGTCTTTACCACTCGGCCGCTGGTGGGTACGAATGCGGCACAAACTGGCGCGCATTCATCCAGTACGTCATTGTGCTACGCAGGTCAAATTACGTTATGAACGCTGCTGTAACCTGTATAAGTACTGTATCTGCGTTTGAATCTAATCATATCAATCTGTTTTAAGAATGAAAACATTAAAACGTCTATATATATCGCTATACCCTGATCCTGAAATCCCACATAATTCTTTATAAAATTAAACGTAGTTCGAAACGTATTGCTGTAACTTCCTCCTGCACTGCGTTGATGAGTTCATGAGTAATATGGAGATATATCTGAAGACTTCTGCTTTCAGGTATTCCCAAAGGAAGACATCGCAAACTGCGAAGTCCAGTGAGCATGTCAACTACAAAATGTCACCATTTGGTGATAGAAGAATGCTGGGGCAAAGAACTCCCACTGGCCTTGCATATTATATTTCGGCCTAACGTTCTCTAATATCTTTATACATTTTTATGACATTGAAACCGGCAAACGGAACTCCGTGCTGTTTATGTTTGTCTTAATAAAATTATATGTTTTATCTTTGTTATTTTGATTTTATACTGGAAAAGTTTTCCTGCCGAATATTATGTTTTAGTATTTTTAGTTCATCAATAGTGCGCAACAAAAAAAAAATTGAAGCTTATTAATCTCTTCCTAAAATAGTAATATGTTTAAGGATATGACGACTTAAATATTAACATTCCAATTACTACTTATAAAATTTAATGAAATGTCGCGCCTTTAAGAGTTTTTGGTCTAGATTATAATTTTTCTTACATTTTTTTATCTTTTCCTTTGTTTTGTTTTCCTAGAGAGCCGATGTCCAAAAGGCTTTGCTATGCTAGATGGATCTACCTGCACAGGTATGAGAAATAATATGATATACTATTTTTATTGATTTTTTTAAATTTAATATTTCATTTGTGACATTTTTAGTACTTACTCTTTCATAAGAAATTATCAGACATAGATGATGAAACTTATAAGATAGTCTACAAAGTCACTTGTAATTCTTGTTATATGAAATTAAGGTAAACAAATTTGGTAAACATATTAAGACATAGTAACGTAAGGAAGAATCGTAACACCAAAACTGTCCGTCAAAATTTTAACACAACCGACTACCATGCATGCGAGTTACTTTATGTTTGTATCAATTAATTACGATGCCAAACAACAATTTCTAAATTCCTAGAAAGATATAAGTTGCTCTTTTATTAGAACCTAACAAATAATCACGTAACATGAATCAAGCTAAAAGATGAAACTCAATTACATAGAATGCTAGGTTGTATCTATAGCATTAAGCTGCTTTGGCCTTCAAAGACAGAACTTACTGTATCCGCGTACTACATTTCAATTATCTTGCTTACAATTATCGGCAAATGCACACAATGTATTGGGCATGCTGAAAACGAATGGGCAACTTAGTCACACGATAGAACAAAAGCACAAAACAACAGAACTTTGAAATTCCATTATTCAATGCTTTACTCGTTCGGTGTTTCTTTATATGCATTTAGATCTTTTCTTCTTGTTCGGTTGTATAGTCAGTCATATTTTATAAAAAATCGTGAAATGCAATACGAAAATGAAAATCAGTGAAAGGATGCAGATAGGTGTCATGCTGATGTCCCCTATAATTCTCCAGAAATTTCCATGGAGAATGTACGAGTAATAAACGCTTGATGTTTATGGCTACAAAGTCTTCAGGAAATTACCCTTAGTTGAACGGTTATACCACTTGTAATCAGACTATTCAATAACGTTTACAGCAGCGTCAAATATTTTTCGGCATAACCTTAAGAAAAAGTTTCATGAGAATATGTTTTTCTATGACATATAGAGCCTGATTGTTACCTAGGCTTACGCCTAGGACTCCAAATATAAGGAGCTCCCAAAATTATATCGGAATTTCTCGACCTTTCTTTTTTCTTTTTTTTTTTCTGTTATTAAAACACGGAAAGTAAATTTTAAAGTCCCGAAAAGACATTTTGACAGATGTTAAGATTTTTTTTTACTGGAACATGATAATATATGCTTTGTAATCTTTCTATCCACTTGATAAGACAAAAGAGTTAACTTAAATCACTTAACATCGCAGCTGGAACCAACAGCATTAAAATGTTAATGATAAGCTCTCAGAAACTGTGCACATCTTTTAACAAAATGTTCTGTAGAAATCCAAATGTTTAGAGATTTTAAATGAATAAATGTCCTGAGACAGAATTATATTGTAATATGCGAGACTTATTACGGCAACCATCAGCATAGAATTACTCTTTGTAGATGACAACGCTAAAATATCTGAATATTGTTGAGAGCGAAAATGTTCGACGAAGATGCAATAAACACAAGCATATCCGAGTAGCTATCGGAAGGTCCAGAGCTCGAGTTTCGGCGAAGGCATTGCATAATTTTCAGGTTTTCTGCTTCGACAAACCTAATAAAACATATACTTTTACTTCTTTACCCGATGTAACGGAAGTACTGCAATCGCGAAAAATTTCGGGCATCATATTTAACGAAAATATCAATTTTGACCGCTCTCGAATCCATTTTAACGATGTTTTTTCGTGACGGATTGTAAAAATCGATTCAGACGAGACTTTTTTCGTGATGTCTGTGCATGCATACGTATGTACATATATAGATGAAATGTAGATTCTCATACATTGTTATTGTGCAGCCGGGGCAACAGAAATGAGACAAAATTTGGAATATAAAGTGATAAGTTTATTTTAGCATCATCTCTCAAGCGTTCTCTCCTGTACATCGAGGAGAAGCTTTATTTATAGATATGTGTGCGTTATGATGCTCATCCAATCAGCGGTATTAATTAAGATCATAAGGTGACGCTATCTTCTCATCAGGAGTGTTCTATAAGACTTTATGTAATACGACAGATTTATGAATTTGGCGGGCGCCAAGTGGTTTATAATAAGAAAGACAAGACTTCGCCAAATAATAGAAACAGGGATACAATTTAGGTAGAGAATCGCATCGCCAACACGTTGTTAGGGAATATGATTAGAATTTAGTGTAATTAATTGATTTTAAAAAAATCATTACATATATTCGCATAACTCAAAAACGAGTACCTTAGAACGTTGAAATTTTGTATTTGTGATTACTATAATATGTATCTGTGCATCTCACTTTTAACTGATTTCGGCTGCGACAAACGTTTATATTGTCACTTTTTTTTTCTTCTGACAGCAATCGTTACGTTATTTTCTTCCTTCACGATCGTACGGGGTTCGTGAGGATTTGAAATGAATAATGACTATACTACTTGATGAAGTATCGAAACACACTTTTTTGGCCAGTGTCGTCAGGACACCTCCAAAACACGTTTTTACAGTCGTCGATCAACTACTATAAACACGCTCACACGATCAGCGACACAGCCTCCAGGTTATCAGGCTATCACGGTGGATACACCTTCACGGCAAACCACTAAAGTACAGCTCCCGACTCTGCTTGGTCGTTCTTGGAACTTCACGTACTCTCGGGACTCTCCACGTTACAACTCGCGATGCACTCGACGACACACAGAGCACAGCTCCTGACTCTTCGGTTCAGTCGTTCCCGAAGCTTAACACACTCTCTCGACGATGCACTAACCGCGATGCACTACAAGACTCTTTCCGTGCACTCGATGACCCAACTTGGCACTCGCTGCGCGGCTGTCAACACGATCGACTCCGCAGGGATTGACTCGCTAGACGAGACCCCAACTCGATACTAAGTATCTCGCACTCGCACTCTATGCGAGGCACACGCACTCGATGAGAGAACACACACTAACTGACTGCGGACCAGCAGGGTTATATAGCTTTCGGCTTGTGTTTGAGAACATTCTGGGCTAAACCGGTAAGAATTCGTTCCAGAAGGTTCTCCAACCGTCCATGGTATATCGCCAATTTTGTCGCCAAATGTGGCAACCCTGCCTTTCCATTTTATGGCACCCCTAAAATTGCTTTGCGGGGAAGCTATCCCACCGCGCCTGTATATTTCGTAACACTGCCCCCTCCCAAGGACTGCACGTCCCGGGCAGTGCAACCCTTGGGTCAAAAGCCAAATTCGATAGAAACAAAACGTTATAAAAGAAACAAATATTTACACTGTGTAGAAGTTATATACACAAATTAAACACATTACAACTTTAAATTATACAAATTAAAGTTCTGAATGAATTTCAGTCTCAGTGTTTTCATTATTTATACCCGGGTCAAATACTTTTCCGCTGCAGTCCTCAGATGCATTTCTGTTTTTCATGTCACAGTCTGAAGATTCAGTCCTTTCAGACTTTTCATCCATTGGAAGATTTTAAAACAGTTCGTTCACCACTATGTGGTTTATTTGCATCATGTATACAGGATTATACATGATTCGGTATTTTTAGTACATGATTCGGTATTTTTAGTACATGATTCGTTTTTAGTACATGATTCGTAGTAGTATACATGATTCGGTATTTTTAGTACATGGTATTTTCTTGATGGTACATGCTTATTTTCCTTGTTTCGTAGGAACCAGGTCCAAATTCTGCATCAGAGTCATGAGTGGCACCAATTCTTCACAAACACAAGTATCGAGGTTTAAAATAAAGTTCTTATCTGCACAATAACGTAACAATCAGCACTATTTAGACGCGCACATAGTTTGTGAGGTGGGTGAATTTTCTTGCAATACTGGAGCACACTGTTCAGCTGTACATCAGCTTCTTTAATCTCAGTATCACATGAACTTTCAGATGGTTCATCACTTGCTGACTGCGTTTTCATAACTTCACTATCAGTTTCGAAGAAGTTAACACTCGCATTTTCACTTTCTTTCACTTCCACTTCAGGCACTTGAGAATCAAAAGCTTCTTTCCCGTCTTTTATTTCTTCATTTTTCGTTCTTTTTCGTTAATTCCGTTAGATGCTTCATCCATCATTTCTAAATCTTTCTCAGGCAGTTAGTTACTTCCTTCATTTCTTCATCCTTTGATTCTTCAGAAGCCACTTCTCTCATTTCCACATCATATTTTATGGCTCCAGTTTCTTCTACAAGCTCCACTTTCACCTGTCGAGTTGCTCTCGCAACTTTTCTTGGCCGACATTTATTTCTTCTCGTCCAGCTTTCATATCAGCTGTCATCTCTTCATATTCAGCTTTTATCTCATCATATCCGGCTTTTATCTCAGCACATCCGGCTTTTATCTCAGCATATCCAGCTTTTATCTCAGCATATCCTGCTTTCAACTTCTCCTGTCCGGCTTCCATCTTTTCTTGGAATTCAGCAAAGGCAGTCACGAGCTTTAATAGATCTTCCATTGGTCTTGTCACCCTCAAATCCCACTTCAGACACCAGTTGTTACGTTATTTTTCTTCTGACACCAATTGTTACGTTATTTTCTTCTTTCACGTTCGTACGGGGTTCGTGAGGATTTGGAGTGAATATTGACAATACTACTTGATGAAGTATCGAAACACACTTTATTGGCCAGTGTCGTCAGGACAGCTCCAAAACACGTTTTTACAGTCGTCGATCAACTACTATAAACACGCTGATACGATCAGCGACAAAGCCTTCAGGTTATCAGGCTATCACGGTGGAGACAGCTTCACAGCAAAGCACTAAAGTACAGCTCCCGACTCTGCTTGGTCGTTCTCGGAGCTCCGCGTACTCTCGAGACTCTCCACGCTTCAACTCGCGATGCACTCGACGACACAGAGAGCACAGCTCCTGACTCTTCGGTTCAGTCACACTCTCTCGACGATGCACTAACCGCGATACACTACGAGACTCTTTCGGTGCACTCGACGACCCACTTAGCACTCGCTGCCCGGCTGTTAACTCGATCGACTCCGCAGGGATTGACTCGCTAGACGAGACACCAACTCGATACTAACTCTTTCGCACTCTATGTGAGGCACACACACACGCTCTCAATACCCCCTGAGTGCGGACCAGCAGAGTTTATATAGCTTTCGGCTTGTGTTCGAGAACATTCTGGGCTAAACCGGTAAGAATTCGTTCCAGAAGGTTCTCCAACCGCCCATGGTATATCGCCAATTTTGTCGCCAAATGTGGCAACACTGCCTTCCCTTGTCATTTTATGGCAACCCTAAAACTGCTTTGCGGGGAAGCTATCCTGCCACTCCTGTTTATCTCGTAATAATATATACCTACTCTGTTATCGGCTCGGTGAGCTTTTTTTTAATTCTTATATGTTGGTAAATTGTGCATTTTTTGCTTTAAAAGTGATTGAATTATCGTCTTCTCATATATAAAAAAGTGTATAAAGTTCTAAATACAAAACAGAAAGTTTTATTAAGGTACGTTTCTATGTATGTTTTCTAAAAGTACAGTTCTAACTGAAAAAAAAAAATTTAATTTGCTTCTCCATACAGATATATATATAAATATTTTTTCTGCTTTCAGATGTGAATGAATGTGAAATCTTCCCTGATATTTGTCAAGGTGGAGGACTATGTGTGAATGCTGAAGGTTCTTACAGATGCAACTGTCCACCTGGTTGGACTTTGGACACTACGGGCACGAAATGCTACGGTAAATATATATATATACATATATATGTATGTATATACCTACATGTAATAACTATGTAGATGAGTTCTGTTAATTGTAATAAATTTAGGGTGCATGGAGGAGAGCACACCAATTATATGGCCGACATGGTTATAGATGTGGCTAGCATCAGATGGAATGAGTCTTGGAAGAAGAAATTTGCAGACATTGGCATAAGATAACAAGACTCAATTTTATTTCTTAATGGTTTAATTTTGAGCACACATTCTCGTTTATATATCACTATGGGTGCGATAGACAGCCCACAATTTTTCGTAGCATATCACATTTTCTCAAGCAATGAAAGACACAAAGAACAAATCGATGGAACAGCACATCTTAGCGAAACGAAGGCAAGGAAAAAAATTGCTGCGCAGTACTAGCAGTGGTATTTATATACTTATTTCTTTGTTTAAATTCTGGATCTTCGATTGGATGAGACTTGTCTCAGTGCAGGAGGATTACGTAACGAAGCATGAAATGGAAATGAGGACAAATTAAAATGATGAATTAAATGTACTATTAAAACTAGTAATTTTAAGTTTTTTATCTTACACACACACGCATATATATATATAAATGTAAGCAAAATAAAGAATACGTAAAAGATTCAATTAGCAGCGTAAATTAATTTTTCTTCTGTATTCTAAAAATAGTAACTTCTATTTACATTGCGTCATTTCGAGACTAATCCATGTCATATGACTCTTCCATAATTCTGTTGATGGAAGCGGAACTAAAACTCAAACAGCCAATAGTAATTTTATAGCAATATTAACTATTCAATTAAAATGCATTGAGAACCAAAACTAATTCAGTCTGAATTAAGATTTCATTCTAAACATAACGTACTTACTTTCTACGCTTTAGCCTAGCTGGACTGCAGTTCTACGCCATCAAAATTCCTGCTGGTCATTACTTCTGAGTTTGTTTCAGTTACATATACTATATATCATTTATTTGAAAAAAGATATAAACACGTTGAAATTTATCATTATTTTGCCACACTATTATTTATAATGAGTATTATTTATCTTTACGTAACCAAATAATTAACAGTAAATTACATTACCTATTTGTTTACCATTACTATTTTAACTTATAATTATTTTAACTATCATTATTTTAACTGTGACTGTGAATCTGATAAATTATCTTCGTTTATCATATGTGTTAAGTTATCTCTTCTAGGGCCATTATTTATACATCTTAGTGAGATCCTAACTTTCTGATTTGCTATTAAACCTAGAAGTGCCGTGTGACTGGTTTTTTGAAACTTGATTTCATTTAACGTCAAACGTGAAAGAAAATATGTAGAATCATTAATTTGTGTTTTTCTCTTTCGTATATTTTTTCCCCTTTTTCTTCAGTTACTCTAATCAAAGCTTAGACATATCCATTGCAAGAATTTATTTTTAAAGCATTTTTTTACTTTTTTCATACCACTGTATAAAAGAAAGAAGTTTTCTGTCTCCTAAATGTAACTCAATGTGAGGTTCCATTTTTGATTAGCATCCTAGTGCAGGAAATAAATCTCCTACGTTTTAATCATGAAATTGATATCACGTTTTAATCATGAAATTGATATCAAAGCAAAACACAATATTTTTATTAAATTTTCTTGAGTAGCTTCTGCGGAAAAACTAATTTGCTCGACATGAATTGCTTGCTGGAAAGTAAATTACTTTTTCAAAGGAAATAATTAAAACAAAGTATTTTGCTTAAGAATGTGCTCAGAAAACCGCCTTCATTCTTAATTATGTGGCTTCGATATATCGATTATCAGCCAGTTTCTTTTTCATCAATGGAGCAACTTATTTATCAGAATCTCAAGTCATGGAAAAGGACAATCTGCACGAAACTTTTTTTTATTTAATTAGGCACCAGGAAGGATTGCGAAGTTATTGTAATAGCAGAATAGTTGTTTACTAATTCTGCAAAGAAATTTATTACTTAAAGGCACTTAATATTCGTATTTCAACCATGTCCTGATTTGCATTCTTTATTTAAAATATAAGACAGTCTAAAGGACTTTTGTTCGGGTTTATGTGAACTCTAAAGCGTGTCTCGAAAGAACAAGTCATACGTGAAGTATTAAATATGAGGCCCGTCGCGAGAGAATGTTTCTGCCTCTAAATGTGCACATTTAGCAAACTATGGTAGAAAAAGTGGCGCCACTGACCAAAAAGATGTCATCGTGTCGTAAGCCCCTTTTCCTTTTCTTTCTTTATATGTATATATATTGTGGGGTTCCATCCGTTTATCTAACAGCTAAGTGTGTAGGAACTTCGTGAACACCTAAGCGAATAATCGCTTTATGTCAGAAACAGATACGTAAAACTTAAGAAGGGTTAATTATCCTTTATTTCTCAAAATAAGAATTTAACAGATGGTCACTGTCTCGGGGCGTACAGCAAAGCCTCTACTTGGATCTGAACCCAAAGTAATAAGAAATGAAACTTCATTAAAGCTTAACTAAAAGCTATAGCCGGGGCTATCAAGATTTCTAAGTAGTTGGTCCCTAAATTATCAACTAAGCTGGCGAAGCTATCAAGGACCTGAGATACGGCCGAGCGTATTAATAGCTTAGAGAGAGTGTAGCCAAAAGACGAACGCGCGCTAGTCAGAATCTCTGGCTCTCTAACGAAGTCCGTGCAACTTCGACTTAAATACCGCTCTTTCTCATTTGCATTAACCGCGAACCTAAAAACACATTCTGGTAGGAAATTGTAAGCTGAAATCGGGAGGGACAGTAAAGTAGCTTTGAATAAAGATGACTGTTAAAAATGTAGGATAAACCTTACAATATACATATATATATGTTTGCGTTTTGATTTATTATTTTACATTACCGGTTCGTAGATTGTTGCATATAGTACCTTTCTTTTATTTATCCTCTACTAGATGTACCTTTCTTTTATTTATCCTCGACTAGATGATCACGACACTTTCACTATACCTGAAGAAAGAAATTCAACTTTCGGTTTTAAACTGCATATTCCATTACCAAAACCCGCACTCACCTCTACACCTCTCCTTTCTCAACTGCCGATTCTGGTGAAGTTCTTTTACTGCGCTTCTGCGCAAAAGACCACATTTGGCAAAATTCGCATACTTGGCGTTTTCTTGTTTTTTTTTTTTTTTTTTTTTTTCTTTCTCTCTCTCTCTTTTTTTTTTTTTTTTTTAAATCTTACACATATAAAAGATTTGTAGAGATAAACAAGATGCATGAAAGTGAAAGTTTGAACCTTTATTGCAGCTTGAACGATTAACGATTAAACTGAAATCAGCAGCTAAAAGTTCAAGTAAAACCGAAATTATCATTGAATTATTCTTTGCTCCAGTAATGGATATCGAAGATTCAGTCTGCAAGACGACTTGCCATCCTAATCTAGCAGCTTGAAGAAACAAATGAAACAGAGTAGCACTGAGTAAAGGCTAAAAACCCGAAGTAGAACTAAAGACGAAGTTAATCTGAAGAGGATACGAGCTGAATTTCAACTAAATTTCAACTAACTACGGAAGTCATGTTTGCACACTTACAAAATGAAGGAAAAGGTGACGATGCCTTTGGCACATTTCAGAAAAAATGCCTATAATTTCTAAAAAAACAAGTTTATTTCTAAAAAACAAGTAATATTTCAATTTATCAAACATAGTCACAGAATTTATCTCTAAATTCGTCTGGTAGAATTTAATTTCTGGTTTTCTAATCTGTAATTACACAGAATTGCCAATACTACAAAATATTAAACAAATAAAAGTTAAAAAAATAAATTATTAGCCTTTAATTACCAACTGTGCATCACGCTAGATATATGTATATAAAATTCTAATAAAAATCAGAGATAAGTAAATAAGAAATAATAAAAAGTTAATACATAAAAGAAACAGAATACATAAAATCCAATATAAAGTAAAATGGAAACAAGTATTAAACAAAGAAATGTAGCTATTTATTATCCATCAAATTAGTACATTATGCTTATTCAGCGGTGATTACATTTCATAGAAAAATTCATTTAAGAAAAACTTTGAAATTGCCTCCATCTTCCCACTGACTAAGCAAAGACATTCAAAACGACCTGTTACTTGCTTGATGACTTATCAGTAGCTTGAGAGGTGCCGGTAAAATAACAAATTCATGTGATTTGCCTAAAGTTTTATTCCGATTTTAGCTTCCAACTAGCCGATGCTTTAAAATACGCACCAGTAACTATCAGAGCCAACTTAAGTAATTTTTTTTATGTGTAGTCTTAGACTACGTTTAATACGTTCAAATTTAACTTTTCTTATGCTAATGCAAATAATTACAAGTAGTCAAACTTCATCTTCAGTACGAGGTTTGCCTGTTCTATTCAATTAAAGAGTAAAAAAATTATTTTAACGTTTTTAGTATATTATGACGTATTTCAGAGTGAGCTATAATTCGCTTTCGGTCTAGTAGGGTCTGAAGGACTGTACTACAAGCTTCCAATTACAATAGAACCCTATCTCTCAGTTAGCGTTTTCAGGAACTATTTTGAAAGACAATGCACTTTTAGTCTCGTCTTCCTCCAACAAGACCAGCGATGGAAAGCTACGGCTTTAGTATGGACACAATGCGAAACAGTTTCCAATGGTAGTAGCTCGGTGTTGACCTTTATTAGAAAGCTTGAAAGCACAATTTTTATTATACCCGGTTGGAAAATTGCAAACATTATCAATAATAACCACTACGGTGTGAGGTCGAAGCCTGTGGCTGAAAGAGGTACCAGATTTGACGGCAGGCGGCGGTTTCGTAATCGGCAAAATTTTCACCATTAGCGGATGAAAAATAATAATAAGTTTTAATTTCCGGATTTTAGATAATCATTTTAAATCTATTAAGATAACCCGTAGACATCGCAATATTAGGGCTTTACTTAATGTTTAGGTCAAACAGAAAATGGTGACCTCCCACAGGTATCGCCGAGAAAAGGCTGCAAGGAGAAAACGTATTG